TTCCAGTGATTAATGGTCACTCTTGGTTTCTGCTGCAATTCCATTAAGATTAGAGACTTAAAGCTACACTGAGATGTTTAGCAGTGGGTGACCCTGGTCTCCCCATAGTTGTATTTCTATAGTCCTGAGGAAACGCAGATTAACTCTTGTCTTGCGTCCCATCCTTTTGGCTCTGTCGCGTCGCGTCGGCCAGCGAAGGGAGCCTGGCGCTCGGGTCGCCGTGCGATTCGTGTGCCGTGCACGCTGTGGCACCTGAAATCGCAGCCCACAGGCACTCTGATGGCACCATCCCCCGAACAAATGCATGTACCCAGAGAATAAAACGCTCTTTCAGGAGGGGACAGGCGCAGCCTCAGCCCCTTCCCCTTTGACACGTGGCAGAGGAAGTGGCAGGGGCTGCTCCACCTTAGCTCAGCCCCTCCTGGGGACCAAAGTGCAGAGGCAAATCATCTTCCTGAAAATGTACAGCTAACTAGAGTCCCAAATGTTTATCTCTGCTACAAGTAAGCCCGCACACAGGGAACGTGAGCATGAGAGGAGTGAAGCAATCAGCCAGACTCCATCGGGAATCTCGTTACTCCCAGGAGTTTGACTTTGGGATTGATGGAGCAGGAAAAGACAGCTCTGACCCCAAGACATCCAATGTAACATCATACCTTCACCTCAGGGGATGGAAGAAAGAAAAGGCACCGTCCCCGCAACTGATTGCGGAGCACCTTTCAGCCCGGGGGATAACTCTGAACCTTTTGTGGAGATCAGCAATCCCAAGCAGAGCTGCAGCTACCGGGGCCCCGGCCAGAGGCACAGGCAGCGGGGGAAGCTCACAGGCCCACGGAGCTGTGCCGATCTGCTGGAGGGGGCCCGGCCAGCTGGGCTTCCCTCCTACCCATGGGTCACCAGCGGTCCGTGTGCTGCTGCCTCGGGACCCCAAGTATCAGGTCCCCGCTGAAGCACCCTGCATGCCCTTGGGAAGCCAAATAACATCAAAACGACGCAAGACAGCTTTTCCCCTCCGGATCAACCTGCTGCCTGCTCCCCAATGGTAGCACCGGGAGCTGAGCAGCACGCGCTTGTCAATATGAAGGCAACCCTCAGCAGGCAACATCCACATCACAAAAGCCACCGCTGTAATTAGCCTTACTCGGCTCGCAGTCAGCAAGAGCTGACTTCATGTTTCCTTCCCGCCCCTCCAAAAGAAACCCCCAAGCAAAGGCATCTTTGCTCCTGGGGGATGCAGCAGCGTGTTACTGAGAACGAGGAGAGAGGTCATGGGGACCCTCGCTTGCTCTTTTTGGGTAAAAAAGGTTGTGCTCCTCACGCGGAGGTGCCCTCCTCCTCCTGCCCCAATGGCCCTAGCTTGGTCAGCCTGGCACTGACGCAGAAATAAAAAGGGGTGGAATTTGAAAGGAGTAAAAGCCTAGAGCCAGAGCCGCTCCTCTCCCTGCCCTCCACCGCGCCGAGGGGCAGGGACAGCGGCTCCCCGTGCGGCTGGAGGGGCCTGTGCAGGCGGCCACCGGCACCGGAGCCAGGGAGAGGATGCACACGGGTAGTGACCGGAGGAAAAAGTGTGCTTGTTATGGATTTGGGAACCTTTGTCTTGGGAGCAATTACATACATCGATGGAAGGAGTTATTGGCGGCAGAGCGGGTTAGGAGCCAGGGCTAGTTTTACAAAACTGAAACCTCTGAGCAAGTCTGGCTGCATGTTGCTGGTACAGGAGCTGAACTGAAAGAAACCATTCTTTTATGTTAAAAGGAAGTGAGATGAAGACTCGGATGGAGATGATAAATTTGATTTTTTCTAAAGATATTTGAGGTGCCAATTTCAGTAACATCCTGAGACCAGGCAAACAACTCGGTAGAAATGCCATGAAGGTTTAGCGTTGACTTTCTTAATGTCTCTGCCTACAGCGAGGTCTAGCCAATGTGGAAGAAAGCTCCTTTCATTAAATCCGAAAGGGCTGTATAATCTAGAATAATACCTACAGCCTTTTGTGTCAGTGGTGTGGGGCTGCCTTTGAGTAAATACATTGGTAGAGAGCTCACGTGCTGTTCCCATCGCAGACTTTTCCTGCGGTCCTTCATAGCCGATCTGAACAGGTCCCACTCTCCCTTTGCTTTTGCTTCTCCGTGGCCTGCTCACAGAGAGCTGAGGAGGCCTTCCTTGATGCCATCACCTAGGGCACATGCAATAGGTATGTCATTACATATATACATACAAAATCTCCTCTCTGAAATCCTCCTAGTTTAAAATTCAGTTCAAAAAGCGAACTTGTTCTGAGCCACAAGTCCCAGTTTCAACTTGAATATGGACTACACTTTAAAACCAGTTTTAATCTAGGTGCCCACTGCATCTCTGAGGCACGCCAAGCATGCTATGTTGTGCCCAGCAGCTTGGATCAACCTCGTAACCTCTGCACTGGTGCGGTTCAGGATGGGGCATGAATTTTCAATACGGGGCCTGGATTCCCCTGAGCCTTTTACCTCACATTGTCATTTACACCTATGGAACCGGCTGTAAAATACTCTCCCCTGGTTTTCCCATCTCTGCTTTAGTTTGCGCGGATGAAAGCAATGCAAGACGGGCAAAAAGAGTCTCAAAGCAAACAGGACCCTGCATAGGAGGACACTGTCCTTCGGTTTGAATTCCTCCTTAAAATCTGGTCCAGCACAGAGTCAAGCCCTAGAAGAGAGGAAATTGTGCTTGACAGATGCAATCATATGCAAATGGCTGTAGAAGAGGGGAAATTATCATCTACAAACATTGGGCAGAAATTCCATCTGCCGCCGCCTCAAGAAGGGCTCTTAATAAATTCTGAGACAGCAAAGTGACACACATCTTAATCAAGACTTAATCCATGGAATTAATTCACTGCGCGTTTCTGCATAATTCCGGGAGCGATGCTAAAAGCCCTGGCAATATCGGCAGCAGATGGACTCCCCCGCTCCGTGCAAAGGTATTAAAGAAAACACAGCCCCTGCCACATCACTTCATGTACGTACACGTGGCAGAAAGCAACAGGGCTGTGCCCTGCCGCTGCTAGGAGCTTACACGGCCGGCGGACATCAAAGGTCAGGCTGGCCGCGAGGTGGAAAAGGAAACCAGCCTCACAGCTAAGATGGAGCCCCTGCCACTCCTCTCCCGCAGAAGGGGAGAAGCCCAGAGCGAGGCAAAGGTCTGGGAAACGAGCACCAGGTCCCTTCGTTGAATGCCGCTTTCGGGGAGGCCGGTGTCGATCCGCCTGCGCCCAGGAAAGGCTGGGGATGGAGGTCGAGCGAAGGGGAGAGCGAAGGAAACCGCCGGGGGTTTTCTGAGCAAGATCCGCTGCAGAAACCAGGCGGATAACCGTTAGAAATGGCTCCCTGCCCTCTCACCGTGGCCTGGGAAGCACGCTGCAGGTATGGGGGTCAGCGTTGCCAAGGGCCCTGGCAGCAGCCCTGCTCAAATTGACAGGAGGTTTTAGACAGCTCTGAAAATACATTCTTAGTCACTGTCATCCACCTCCAAAGGAGGTGCAACAGCTATGTGATTAATCTCTTGTTTACATGTCTAAATGCTAGTGCAGTCCAGACGAAATACTGCCTTCAGCGAGCTCCCTCCCCAGCACGCATGGATTTGAGGGGCCGGGCAGTCCTTCACCAGCTAGAATCCAGTCTTCACAGCTGACCTCCACCTGCAGTTTGGAAGTCCCAAATGCCTGGCCCAAACCTCCTAAAGCTCGGGTCCCAGATCCCAGCATGGTACCTCGGCTGCTGCTGTGTTTTCGAGCGAGAGGCTCCCTTGCTGGGAAGGTGATGCATTAGCTGGGGTGACCAGAGTTTCAGAAGCCGCTGGGGTCCCCTCGAAGCGGTCCAGCCTTCAGAAACGTGCATTGTCTTGCATACAGCAGGGTTGTGATCCAAAACTCAGATTAAGGGCTAACACAGGGCCAGCTCAACTTTCCAAGGGGATGGGGCTGGGCTTGTAGCACTTAACAGCCTCATGCCTGCCTCTTCGTGAGCATCCAGTGTGGTCCAGAGCAAAGCGGTGCTCTCAGCTGAGCTCTTCTGGGCAATGCTGGGGGAAGGTGCAGGGGCACTGAGGAAAAGTGGTAAGAATAATTGATCCTGGGGCAGAGAGGTGTGGAAAGAGGTGGTAGAGGAGTCCCAGCGGTGCCTGCAGTTGTGGGGAGCAGCACCACCAGCTTCCCAGCTGGGATGCTTTCAGCCAGAGGAGGTGGCTCACAGGCACAGGCCAGTCACTTGGGGGGGCACAGGGAGCCTTCAGCAGGGTAACCTAAGGCTGGAAGCGAGCTGCTGCAGGCAGGATCACTCATTCCCAGGCACCCAAGGGTGTGTAATGCGATTCCCATGTTAATTCAGGCTCCAGAGGTCCTTACGTACCCCAAAGCAGTCCACTTGCACTGCCTGGGTCCCTGCTCGCGGCAGCGCAGCCAGACATGCCTTCCTATCAGTGCCACGCACGGGAGCGCTCTTCTTTTGGGATGTGTGGGTGTACATCTGCATCAGTGCTCTCTGGACAGCTTTACTTGGGCTTGACAGGTTTGTGGAGAAGCGAAGGAGAAAGGGGAGAGAAGCTGGGCAAGGAGGATGGGAGAGGCGGCATGTCTGGGGAAGGTGCTAACAGCCCTTGGCTGGCCCAGAACCACTTCCTCAGATCTCCGTTACACAGCATGCTCCCAGCGTTGCTATTTCAGTCTGAATGTCACCTATAAATTGGAGGCTCTTTCTCTGAAGGCTGCAAATAGAAGTGTTACTAGATGATCTTTGATTTATAGGGAAGCTCAGCAGAAAGCCTGGCATGTCCATTTTCCAGCCAGGAAACAAAAAGGGCTCCAAGGATCACACAGGGATCCTTTGCTTTTCCTAGACCTTTCCCCAAGGGTTGGCAAATCCCTCCTGGAGGGGGTGGGGAGAAGTCACACACAGATTCATCTCCCTAATTACCCTGTGCCTGCTGCTTTTTCAGATTCCTCCTCCTCCGCCACCCACCCCTGCCCCATGGATTTCAATCTGCTGGCAGACGCGGAGGCTCGCAGCCCAGCCTTGTCTCTCTCGGACTCCGGAACCCCTCAACACGAGCACAGCTGCAAAGGGCAGGACCACAGCGGTGAGTGCAAGGCTCAGGATGCAAGAGAGGCCCTGACCTGCCCTTGTGGGTGGATCCGGGTGGCCAGTGGCTCACAGGAGCCAGTTGCAGTGCTCCCGGGGACACGCTGAGCTTCCTCTCGTACGGCGAGCCAGCGCAGTGCCGCAGCAGCACGGCTGTCCCAGCAAGCAGGGGGAAGGCGTAAGGGTGCGTATCGCGATGTCAGCCGTCGGGAGGGCCAGAGCAGCATCCCGGTGACGGGCGCCTGGCTGCGGGAAGCCGCTGCTGACAGAGGGCACAGCCCGTGGCAGGCAGGAGTCAGGCAAGCCGGGTCACTGCCCAACCGAGACTTTATTGTATTCGCCTAAACCGCATCTCCAGAGGAGGAGAGCTCTCCCTGCAACATGGGAAACCTCATCCAAGGCACAGAAGGCTACACCTAGGCATAAACTGCCCTTTCTCTTTTTTTTAAAAGTCTGTTTAAATTGCTTAGGTTGAAACTTTCCATGCTACGGGTTCACCTTGGGCTGAACTTCTCAGGTTCAGGCAACAAGAAGGAAGAGAAATACTGTCTTGCCCCTGCTTTAATTGAAAAAGCCTGGTCACTTGGTGCAAGGCTCCACAGTGGGCTGCTCCTGTCCCAAGGAGGTGCCTCTGACCGTTCCCAAAGGCTGAACAAACCCCAAGCCTGCCACATTCTTTATCAGGCTCTGAAGAAGAAACATCACCGTTCACACCCAGTCAGAAATCAGCTACCAAATGCTATGGCTTCCCTGGATGTTGCATCTGTCCTGTGATCGCTCCATCCCTTGTTGCTCTGGATGTGGCAGGACAACGCAAAGCTGCCCCTGCCGGCGCGAGGGCTGGGGACAGCCTGCTGCTCCCCGTGTAAAGCCTCCGGGCTCACCCGCCTGCAAAAGCTAATAAGCATAATGATGCAGATTAAAATTCCCCAGAGTAAGTATCTTGAAGGGAGTCACGCTGGGATAACTATGGTCAGAGAATCCACCCGCCGAATTCCCCACTGCACACGTACCTTAGTTGGGCACATCCCCAAGCTCAGTGGCTCCTCGTCAGCTGCTTTGGATGCACAGCGGTCGTCTCCATTCAAGTGGCCTTCCCGATCGAGCCCACCCTGGCACGCCGCAGAACTGCCAATTTAGGAGCCGACTTTTTTTTCCATTAGGCGCGAGCAGCTAATCCCAGCTATGACCACAGTCGTTTCATTGAGTGGGCGAACGTGCACGAGATATATTCCACAACCTATTTTGGGTTGACAATAAACGCTGGGTGCCTGGCTATGTCACTCCCCACTGTCTTAAACGGTCTAGAAATAAAATGGTTCTGGGAGGCGAGCATTTGCCAGCGCTACCTGCACGCAGAGGCTGGCAGCTTGTGTGTTCGCACCGGGGAGGCTGACGGCAGCCGCACGTCACCGGGGTCAGGCAGAGCAGAGCGTGCCACCACGGGCTGCCCGGGATGGGCAGCGGCAGTGCTTCTGGCACTGCTTGCCTCTCCTCAAGAGAGCAGCCTCCCTACTCCTCCTTCGCTCTGCTTCCTTCATCCACAGAGGAAGAGAACCCGAGGAAGGAAGCATGAACTTTGCTCGTCTGGGCTCAGCTCTCCGAGATCCCAAGTCTCCTCCGATGGCGTGGTGTGGTTTGTGACACCCCCTTCTCTTAGGTTTCATCAGGCAGCACAGGTCCGGGGAGAGCAAGGATGAGGCGAGGAACCGCCCCGCATCTCCCTGTATTCTGCTCCTCAGCATGGATCCAGGGCACCAACAGGATCCGTTCTTCCTGACATGTCCCTTATTTCCCTGTATTTCCATGCTTTTGGTCCCCACTACAATGCCCAAGCTCTGCACCATTTACAGAGGGCACTTCTCCCCTGCCTAGAGAAGAAGCAGAAACAGAGATGACACTCCTTCTAAGCAATGCTCAGGAAGAGCCAGAGGGAGCAGGTATGGAAACAGAGAGGAGAATAAGAGGAACATGTAGCTGCAGAGATTTTTCCAGGCTCAAAGTCAGTATTACAGAATCACAGAATCACTAAGGTTGGAAGAGACCTTCAAGATCATCAAGTCCAACTATTAATCCAGCACCACCACGTCCCCTAAACCATGTACCAAAGTGCCACATCCACACGTTTTTTGAACACTTCCAGAGATGGCGACTCCACCACCTCCCTGGGCAGCCTGTTCCAATGCTTGACCACCTTCTTGGTGAAGAAATTTTTCCTAATATCCAATCTAAACCTCCCCTGGCGCAACTTGAGGCCATTTCCTCTCGTCCTGTCACTAGTTAGTTGGGAGAAGAGACCAGCACCCTCGTCACCACAACCCCCTTTCAGGTAGTTGTAGAGAGCGATAAGGTCTCCCCTCAGCCTCCTCTTCTCCAGACTAAACAACCCCAGTTCCCTCAGCCGCTCCCCATAAGACTTGTGCTCCAGACCCCTCACCAGCTTCGTTGCCCTTCTCTGGACACGCTCCAGCACCTCAGCATCCTTCTGGTAGTGAGGGGCCCAAAACTGAACACAGGATTCAAGGTGCGGCCTCACCAGTGCCGCCTCCTTGGACTTCACAAAATTTGTGGGAAGTTCTACACCAGAAGGTATGGAGATGAATACCAAAGCAAGATACTTTGTGAGCTCTTCCACCCAGATGCCTCCCATAAGCCCGTGGTACCTTCGCTCCATTCTCCTTTCCTCTCGGTATAGATTCTTCCTGCGGGAAGAAGGGCAGTCCTGAGCAGGAGCTCCCCACTAGGGCCCAGCCTCCTGCTTTGCAGCAGCCCCTTCGGAAATCTGCATTTGTCAGGGGCTCCTGTGGGAACGTATCCCCTGTACGCACCAGGCTCTTAATTAACGCAGACTTAGCAGATGAACAAACAAACCGAATGTTGTCCCTTGCTCTGTACTGAGCCATTCCTAATAACTAGCTCAGACATGGTGGCATCACGCGCCTTTTAATCTGTTTTAGAGATGGATAATGTGGAATCTCCCTCCTCCAACACTGGCTTAGAGCACTAAGCTAGAGAAATTAGATTTCTCTCCTTGGCAAGTACCACTGTAAAAAAGATCCACATTAAGAGCATGCTTCCAAGAGTTCTGCTGAGCGTGGGATCCCCACATGAAGACACTCATGGGAACGAAGACAGGACCATGAGACCACAGCCAGCTCCTCCTCTTCCACTTTTCAGGTCCTAGGGCTTTGTCCGTTTCAAGAGTGTGCTGGGAAAGTTCTTGTGCAGGTGTAACCTGGGTGGAAACACGAGCTGGTCCTGGCACTGGGAATGGGAGACGGCACCTTCCTGCTCAGCAAAACCAGCTTGTGCCCTGCTGTTGAGAGCAATAGCCAGCTTGCTGTCCTTGCATTAGCTTTCCCGCTGGGGGATAGCACTAAATATGCCACAGACACAGATGCGGCTGGTGGGGAGCCTGTGGGGACACATTGCTTCGGTCAATGCGACGCATACCCACAGAAACAGACCTTTTCTGCCCGCACCCAGGCTTTCCTCCAGGAAGAGTGAGCACCTCTCCCGCAAATGCTCTCCGTGACTCCAGCGTTGCTCCCTTCGGAGGAAGGCAGGTGCAAGGAGAGTTTTCCCTGGAACAGCAGGGAGGTTTCTGAATTAACAGGCTGCCACGGGAATGGGGTACTGGCACCAGGTTGCTGGGGCAGGAGCATCTCACAGGGCTGGGCTCCATCAAGGCACCTGCTGTTGGGTACAGCACTGCCCTGCAGCAAACTCCTTTCTCTGTCAGGACTCAGGTGCTTTTCAGCCTCTCTTAGGCTCTCTCTTTTCCATTTAGCTTTTATGGGGTGTATTTTTCCAGAGCACATCCATCAGGGTTGAGTGACCTTTTTTTTTTTGCCCCTCACCCAACTGTTTTTTTGCCTCCCTGCTTTTTAAGGGGATGTACAAGATACCTTCCATGTTAGGATTTTTCTGGACTTTGAAGCCTTTTAAACTAACTTCCATTTAAAAAAAACCCACAACCAAACAAAAAATCCTTTTAACCTGAATCTCGGCAGAGTGATGCCAGGATCTGGCAACTGTTTGCCATGATTTCTACTTATCCTAGCTGAGTATTTCCCACTGTAAAAGAACACCTCCCCTCCCTACTGAAAACCTGATTTTCAGTTGGGACTGCTTCACCTTGCTTCTAGGTCAGAGGAAGGAGGTGGTGAACATCAGAAATTATTTATTTTCACTGGAATAATTTTCTTCTATGGTGATTTGTCTTGTTTCCCAGCAGAATTCCCAGCTACTACGAGCTGTAGCTTTCCTCCCTGTAGTCATCCTCCATAGATTGCCCAAGTGCTCAAATTTCCTTTTGATGATGGACGATACTTATATTTACATTCTGCCCCAGTTTGCAGAGTACCGACAGCCCCAGGAGGGGCTGTGGCACAGGGAAGTAGCTGGCTGCCCCCCTCCAGCCACAGCAGCCCAAAGATGAGCATCAAGGCCTGGGCTTAATGCCTAGGAGGATGCTGAACTGTACTTTTCAGTTAGATACCAATGTGAACACTGGAGAGTTTCAAGATACTCATTTAGGGGGCAACGAAATGAAAGACACTGCCTCTAGGAGAGGGGTCTCCAAGTGAGGAGGAGGGCAGGGGTGGAAGGACAAGGAGGTGCTGGAATGCTTCATGGTAAAGGTTTAAGAGAGGTCTTTTCCTACTTTTAAAAATAAAAATACTTGCACCTAAGTAAGGAGGTAGAGGAGTAAGAAGAGAGGAAGGATAAAAATCTGTGCTCCTCAGGTTTAGTTAATTTAAGAGCCTCAACTTGCTATCATTGGCATTTTGCCTTTTCCCATCACTTGTCCACAAAAGTGCTACTGGATCTTTTGCTGTGTCATAAGTGGCAATTTCCATTCAGTTTTTCTAAAGGGAACCTTAGGCAGAGATTTTTAAGCAAGGTCGGAAACTGCTGGCTTGGGTAAGTTCTGCCGCTATTACCCACCTTAACTGCGACAAATGAAAACCCAATTTGGAAAATCCAGATGCAGTCACTTGGAAGCTGACATCCATTGCAGCAGTTAAACGAGAGCAAGCCGTGTTGTATCAGGGGGCCACTGGTTTTGGTGCAGGGTGGATGCCTGCTTGCAAGGGTGAGGGAGGGAGATGGGACCACTGCTGTGGGTGCAGCTGGAGCCGCTGGTGGCCGCAGTAGAGGAGGACTTCACTGGGCATGCACTGCTTGCCCCAAGGACGGGCTCTCCAAATGCATCCAAGCCCCCGAGTTAACTCAGGGGATCTCTCCCATCTTTCTGTTTCTCGCACAGACACCGAGAAGTCCCAGCAAAACCAGACGGACGACTCCAACCCTGAAGACGGCTCACTCAAGAAGAAGCAGCGGAGGCAGAGGACGCATTTCACTAGCCAGCAGCTCCAGGAGCTGGAAGCCACTTTCCAGAGAAACCGTTACCCAGACATGAGCACCAGGGAGGAGATTGCAGTCTGGACCAACCTGACGGAGGCACGAGTCCGGGTAGGACTGTAGCTCTCCCACCTTCCCAGACCCAAGCTTGTTGAGAGGAAGCCGGCTGTGATACAAGCCACCAAGTTGTCCCCAAACCAAGGAAGGAATTAAGGGCACTAGAAAATTTCCCTCTTGAAAACACCTCACCAGGCTCTACATCCGAGACTTGACACATCCAGCTACCCCCCCACACACAACTGGTGGTGCCTTCGCCATCCAGTGCCACCTTGCAGCAACACAGGGAGGTGCCAAGCCTAGGCTCTGCCCCACAGAGCCCCACCAGCCGGCTGCCACAACCCAGCAGACCCTTTCCTTGCAGTGCCATCATCCCCCAGCCTTAGCCTTGCTGGAGGGCACTCTGGCATTCCCAAACCTATGTGCAGTCACAGGCGTAGCATGGCAGGGCTCCAGCTGGAATGAGAGCTTCTCTCTGCTACTAGAAATATGAGTTAGCAGCACCATGAATAGCCTTCCAGCAGCTTCCACGCTCTAGGAAGTTATATTGTTTGAGTCCAACACTATCAGGTTTTCCTGTTAGAAGACAGACTTCTAACACCCCACCCCAAGCTGGTCCTGAAGTAAAGTCAAAACAAGAAAGGTTATTTCCTCTACTCAGCAGCTCTCAAACCACATCCCCCAAACACTTTGCTCCCAAGTCACACAACCCCAACCCCTCCTCCTGGGCTGTGGTCACTTGGAAATACAGCACGTATTTTCCTCCCTTTTCCCCGTATAAAGGGGCGTCCGGTTTACTGAGTGAGGTGGGTTATTCTCTGCGTTGTAAAATGGCAGTGGTTAGGTTTTGATCTAGGTGGTGATTCTTGCTGGGAGATGACCCTGCAGCCCAGACATCTTGCTGCAACTTTTGTCTGATGCTCAGCCTCCCCGCTCCCTGGGAGCACCCCTGGCCCTTCAACAGCTCTTGTCTTGCTGGGCAAAGAGACCCTTCCAGGAGCAGCCCAAAATGATTCCCATCCCTTCCCTCTCTCTCTCTCTCAGGTCTGGTTCAAAAACCGCAGAGCTAAGTGGAGGAAACGGGAGAGGAACCAACAGGCCGAACTGTGCAAGAACAGTTTTGGAGCCCAGTTCAACGGACTGATGCAGCCTTATGATGACATGTATTCCAGCTATTCCTACAACAACTGGGCCACCAAGGGGCTTGCCACCAGCCCACTCTCAGCCAAGAGCTTCCCATTCTTCAACTCCATGAACGTCAGTCCCCTCTCCTCCCAGCCCATGTTCTCCCCACCCAGCTCCATCGCCTCAATGACCATGCCTTCATCCATGGTCCCTTCTGCGGTGACTGGAGTACCGGCCTCCAGCCTCAACAACCTGGGAAACATCAACAACCTGAACAGCCCAAGCCTCAATTCCGCTGTCTCATCCAGTGCCTGTCCTTACGCCTCAACAGCCAGCCCCTACATTTACAGGGACACATGCAACTCCAGCCTGGCCAGCCTGCGGCTGAAGGCCAAGCAGCACGCTAACTTCACCTACCCGGCGGTGCAGACGGCAGCTTCCAATCTGAGCCCTTGCCAATACGCTGTGGACAGGCCCGTATGAAGGGCTGCCCTCCGCCAACCAGGGACTTGACCTTAGCCTGACAAAAGGAGACCTTTAGCCCTACAACAGCGTACGTCCTGCAGAGAATGAGAGTGAACCTGGGAGAGCAGGAGAGCAAGAGAGAGCGGTGAGCAGGCAGATGGACCTCTATGAAGATTTGTCTAACTATCGTATGGTGAATTTTGACTGTCTTTCCCCTCCCAAACCCCCTCCCCTCTTGCCCACCAAACCTCCTCCTTTGTGGTAAAGAAACCAAAACAGTCTACTGGAAGCCCCGGGGGGAAATAGGAGCCCTGACATGCGGGGTGCCTGACTCACGGGAAGCAGAACCAAGTGTGTTTCGATCTGCCCCTCTGAGCCCCACAGGGGTGAGCTCCCCAAATATCCGGGACAGTATGGGCAGCTGGACGCCACCCCTGCAGGGAACAGCCAGGGACAGGGCAACGTGGGGACTGCCATTTGGTGCTTGGCTGACCCTGCCTCCCTGCACACGTGTGAGATTTCAGTTAAAGACATCTTGCCCATTTATTTATCACAGAGCCAGTAAGGAAAGCCTTGTCTCAGTTGGCTGGCATCTCTCTTTATAGCGCATAGATCCTCATGGCCCTTCAGACTTGAAGCCTTTAGGAACTGGGAGTTGCAAGGATATAACATATGTGCGTGTATATATACACCTCATATATATACACACCCCAATACATATATAGACATTAAAATATGCTTTTTTGTTTTGTACATGAAATAACCTACAAAGCCGACCTTAAAACCAAAAGCAAGCACATCCCCCGAGGTGGCGTCCTGCCTGTTGTTCTTTACTGCTTCAATCATTTCCAGTCAGACAGGAACACTTTTACCAGCGTACATCCAAAGCGTCCCCTTTTGCAACAATCAGCTCCCCCTTGCACATCTCCTTCCCTTCCCCAAATCCCATTTCCAAAAAAGATAATAAAATAAAAGTTGGCACAATCCCGTTAAGGCTTCTGCCCGTCTGGTTATTAAGAGCACGAACCTGCGTCCGAAGACTCGGAAATCAAGTGCCAGCAGCCCAGGTGAGAGCGAGCATCCTCAGGAGCACCAGCATGAGGCAGCCCGAGTCAGAACAGGGGCCTGAGGTTTGAAGGAGCCATCTCTGGTCCTCACTTACAAATCAAACACCTGGCTCCTCAGAGCAGCAAAAGCCCATGGACACCCTATGAAGGGGACAACAAGCCCCCTCCCTGCACGCACCCGCTGCAGCAGGAAGGTCGAGCGTCTCCGGGCTCAGGCTTCCCCACCGTGCTGGATGGGGCCAGTGCCTTTGTGCTCCCAGCAGCCCAGGGCAGGGGAGCTCCTCCAGGCGCTCCTGCCCCGAACAGCGGTCCCTGGGGAGAGGCCGGCTGCCGCAAGCCGCCCTGCGAGCCTGCCCCTGCGCAGCTTCTGTTGGGAAAGGCGTAAAACAGAGGTGGCTCTGCCAAGATGTACATGCACCGGGGGGACTTGCCGCTTCAGCCAATGCAGAGGATTGCAGTGGGCTCCTCCAAGGGCCTAAGGAAGCTCCACGTGCAGCAGGGGAGCAGGACATCCCTACCCAGTGCAGCCTCCTTTCCCTTCATCAGGCACATACTCGAAGGGGAAACCACAACCCCAATATTTTACTTTTCTCTTAGGAAAAAAAAACCCAAAACCAAAATACATACCACCACAACAAACTATCTTACTTGGATGAATGGGACAGGCAAACCTGGCATAAACCAGGTCTCTGCAATACTGTTAGCATGCAGAGAGGAAGCAAGATCTTTGCTAAGAAAGGATCCTCACTAGGACGCAGTTAAGAGGTCCCTCACAAGCAAAGCATATGAGCTACTCAGTCTTTGCCAAAGCCTATTCCACAGGGAGCAGCTGCTGATGAAGGTATTGGTGAGCAGATGCCAAAAGCAGTCACAGATGTCAGCCTAACTTCACTGTAACAAAATTATTTTTTTGCTCTGAGTTAATCCAAAACGAGGGAGACAAGTCACCCTGCACTGAAACAGCTACTGCTGGAAGCACAACCCTATCTGCAACATGCATTCAAAGATCGAGCATAAACACCTAAGACATAGACATAGTGCATCCAAGACAAGACTGTTCACTGTAACCTGGATCCTACTTTGCTGCTGGGTGCCAGTGCTGCTCCAGTAGCTTCAGTGGTTAGTCTCCATCCTGTGCTGGAGCCTGCACCCAGCAGCCTTCCCACCAAACACATGCCTCCTCTTAGTGCTGTTGTGCTTAACTGCCTTCTCTGCCATGGCTCTTCTCCCCAAGAAAGGAGGGCCTGGGCTTCTCCCTAACAGCCGCTCCTCCCCTGAGCCTAACTCACAGCTGTGTCTAACCCCTCTCCCTGATAACCCAAGCCAGGTGGTACCCCAATCCTCTCCTGATCCTTGATGAAGGAGCTGAGCTCTTTACACACCTGGTCCTTCCCCTACACCCTTTCCACACACCCTGCCCCTCCAACCCTGTGGTAATCTCAAGCATAGCTGGGAACACGGCAAAGCCAGGACAAGCATCTCTCATAAAGATGCAGTTTTACCTGGAGAATAAACTGAAGGGAGACCCAGCTTCCCTTTCACTTGGGTGATGTGTCTATGGAGGGAAAAAAATTCTTTTTCTTCTCCCCAGCTGAAGCCAAGAGCGACATGAGCTCCTCCTTCCCTTTTAACCTGCTCTAGTAGCTGCGCTTTGCCTTGGGCAGTTTCTGTGCAGCTTTGGTTGTTCTCCATGTTGCTATGATGCTTGTGAAGATCCTCTGCTTGTCCCAGAGAGAAGCTGAGGTTCAGTTGGGGTAGGAGTGTACAAGGCTGGCTGCTGCTGACTGTTGCAGGATTCAGCTGATGAAAGATATGCCCCAATACACAGCACAGAAGGACAACTCCAGCACACGGTTTTCATGATGTCCTGTTGGAGCCAGGGGGGAAAAGTCAAGGCCTAGTTTAGGTACTGGTTTTTCAGCCTGAGGTTTTCCATGAGGTCATTTCAAATAACATTATGCCAGACTAGTCTGATTTCTGAGCAGGACAGACTCAGTCAGTACCCACACGAGGCAACTGGTGCATGCACGCGTGTGGCCAGTGGCTCTGAAGGGTGGCTACTTGGTTCAAGTTTCTCCTTCCCAGTCCTGTACGGAGAAGATGGTGGGGTCTGTTTCTGCAGTCAGAGGCAAACCACACCCCAGCTCTGAGCTGAGAGCGCTTTGTACAATGGCACCAAATAACTGACACAGCCTTGGGAAAACCTTAGAGTCTGCAGACACCAGAGATGGTCAACAGTAAATAATGAAGTGAGCAAGTTGGTAGCAGAGAGCTCTGGGAGAGGTCCCCTGCTTTCCAAATGCCACCTGCCTTCCTGATGCAGCTGAGCCAGTACAGCCTCCCATATTTGGCTCCCTCCCCATGGGGCCAGGACATGGACGTCAAGCTCTCTGGCCCAGCAGAAATACAGCAGGTGTCCTACAGACCTTCTCCAGGACCTCTCTCTCTCACAAGCCCCAAGTGCCTCCCTAGCTGTATCTCCTTGGTACTGCAACCAAAGCAAGTGGTTTTTAGCAGGGTCCTGCTTATTCTGAAGACCCGTTAGGCAAGTAACTTTGTCACTGGATACTTCCCAATCTGCAGATTTAGCAAGTGCACATTCTCTTCCATCATCCAGGTCATTAATGGAAATGCTGAACAAAATCAGACCCAGAACAGATGTCCCTGAACTTCACTCAACAGATCCCTTCCTTTTCAACAGTGAATCGTAGATAACTCTCTGGGTATAATTATCCAATGGGTTTTGTACCTACCCAACGTCCCATCTACATCATCCTTAAGAGCTACTTAAATGGCAGCCAGGGCTCTTCTTCACCGTGCCCTTACCCTGCCATAGAGGAAAATCAGTTATTTTGACCAGATTCTGCTCTTGACGAGTCCATATGGCTCCTGCCTATCTCCACTGCCTACAAGTAGCGAGATTTTTTTGTTCCAGCATTTTTGGGGCGGTAGGTGGGTGAAGGGATTTAACTGTCGGCAGTTCCTGGCTTTTGACTCCAGTCCCCATTTTGAAGGGGGTGTTGTACATCTTGCATTTTACAGTCTTCCTGTGCCTCGCCGTCCCCCTATAGTTCTGACAGGTAACAGCAAACATTTCTGGGACCGCTTTGCGTGAAGTTCACCACGCCCAGACGGCCTGAGAAACCCCCATTTATCTAAACACTCTCCCGCGCTTCCCTCGTTCAAGGCCAGCCC